ATATAAATACAGAGACAAATATAAATAAAATATACGAAGGGGATAAATAGAATAAATAGGAATAAAAATAAAAATACAAGTGAATTGCACATTGAACAAAGGAGGTTGGGATGTATATTCAACTTTTTTACAAATGGGCGGCAGAGGGACAAGACCACGTTGTGTAATTACAGCTGGTAGGGCTGGAGTAGGTTGGTTTGCCTTTCTGGGGCACGAATCATGCGAAAAGGCCTGGCAGTTTCGTAGATTCTGACACTGGCGGGGCGGGCCTCTGTTAGAGATTCTTTTATCAAGCACTCAGATGTAATGAAATAACACTCAGACACTTCAGCAGTTTAACGTGCACGGGTGAGAGACTCAGGGGGAGACTCACACACCTCCCTGTTGCAGTCTGCCTTTATTTATACACAGCAGGAAGCATACAAAAAAGGAAATATCATGCTTATCTTGTCAAGCAAGCAGGTGTGATTTCTCAAGAACTTTGTATTCTCTACAAGGTTGTTTCTTACTCTTGGATGGCGGTTTCCTGCTGCTGACAGATAATGTGAAGGCAAACAGTTTCTGTTATAGAGTAGAGAGCCAGCAATTAAAATATGCAGCTGGTTGAGTACAGAACAGAAATATAAACACTCTTAGCTGATTATTATATGAATAATAAAACCTTTAAAAGCAAAAATCCTCTGACAGCCTCAAATTTTGCATTTTTGGCCTAATACGGTGGCAAAGGAGTCTGTTGTGACTGTTGTCGTCCAACCATCTTTGAAATGGGCTGGATTTTCTCATCTTGCACAGATGTGATTTCCCTGCCTACATAGATATTAGGGGTGCAACAATACTCGTATCGATATTGAACTGTTCGATACAGTGCTTTTTGTTTGGTACGCATATGTATCGAACAATACAAAATTTATTTGATCAACTTTTCTTCTGACGATGCTGTCTGTGTTGAGCGCTCAGTGGATCTGCGCTCGACAGTGCAGTCTAGGCGCTCCCATCAGTGTTGGTTCTTCTGCACTGCAGCAGAGGAGGATTAAATTAGTTTAAGCAATTTTTATTCTCATACTGCTGATTTGTGGACCCCTGGGTTAAATATTTAGACCTTCATATGTTTTAGTTTGCAGGAGTGTGCTGATTAAAATGTTTAAAACCTTTATCTCCATCTCGTCCTAAACATTTTACCATTATGTATAAGCAGGAACAAAAGACAGCTAGCAATTATGAAGCCACATATTAACATACACTAGACTTCAGTGAACATGTTTATGTATAAATTCACACAGTTCTAGTTTTTTATTCACTTGACAGGCAGCTAAGTATCTTGAATGACGATCCCTCAATATGCACTTTATAAAAACCTAAATGTTGATTCTGATTATCTGGACATAATGTTTTCGATGAGAAAAGTTTCTGATCCAAGTGACTTGTTCAGTCTCTGATTTACTTACCTGGATGACTGAGAACACATCAAGACACTTTATAAAAGCTTGCATATTATGGGTGTTTTTCCTTCTTTAACTTTTTGTGAGGGTGGGTACTTTTGCCTTTATTGGATAGCGCAGCAGTAAAGGAAGTGGAGGTGACATGTAGCCAAGGGCCAGGGTCAGACTGGAACACAGGCTGCTGGATTGTGCCATATGACCACTTGTTCAAACAGTGAGCTAGCTTGACAGTAACATAAAATTTCCGATTGTATTTCCCTCCTACACACACACACAAACTGAAGTCAAAGTCAAGCATGCGTTACTTTGTCTTTTTGATGATCTTTAATGTGTACTTGCTGTTGTGCATATTAATTTTGACATCCAGATCATTTGTTTTCTTGGGTTTTTCTTTTTTTTTATTTTTGTTTTAAACCAACTTGGTTCACAGCTCAGGAACACCCATCGACACACTCCGCACACTGGTCCTCAGCTTTTCAGATGCCATTTATTTCCATTATACAGAAGAAAAGACAAACATTTCAAACAAAGACAGCCAGAACATCTTTCCTGTGCCACAATGTGTGAAATATAACTTAACATGACAAGAATCAATGTCTACACCATCAATATCCTCACTTTAACTGTCTGTAATGCATTGAGCTAGTTAGCAACAGGGAAATTGACTGCATATGCGCTGAAATTATTATACCAGAAAGAGGACAGCAGCATCAGTTGCAAACGTTGACAGCCAGTGTGACCTCAGCCTCAAGATCCCAGGTGAGATAAGCAGGAACTGTTATGTAACTATA